GCTACTTTTTAATAAATTGTGCTAAAAAATATTTTTTTGCAATTATATGATAATACGGTGGCTGTAAGAAAATTATTGCCTTAATTTTTATTGTAAATAAATTTTCATAATTTCCAACATAACTTTCTAAACATATTGCCTTTCCAATCAAAATTTTACAATTACGTTTATAAAAAGTTATTTATGCCTCAAAACAAGCCCCTAAAAAGTGTTTAAAGATGACGGCCAAATAAGAAAGTGGCTTTCAATGTCTTTTTTTTCTTTGGAATTCCAAAAAAATTACATATATAACACTTAAGTTTCATATATATATATATATATGATACCGCATTTTCTATCCGGACTCCTGACATAACTCTACGTGCATCGTATGTTATTCTTGAGTTATTTTCAGATTATTTTAAATTATTTTCAATAATCCTTAAATAACTCATGGTCTTTATTTTTGGATTATTATGATATTATTGAAAATAAATTAGAAATAATTTAAAAATAACTCGAAATAACTTCAATCGCACGTAAAACTACGTCAGGAGTCCGCACAGAAAAAATTTTGGATCTTTAGAAACGAAATATATTTTATAATGCAAAATTTTTAAAAACAACAGTATGTCAAATATAATACATTTTATATACCAAACACTTGAATTTCTAACTTATATAAACACCCTAAACTCGAAATAACATAAAAAAAATATCACTAACAAAACTTTTCAAATAAAATATCTATGTATTTACAAATCTAACACCCAGAGCTTCATAATATTTACAACACTTGTGTCGTACATCTATTAATGAGAATGTATACTTCCCTTTAAGAAGTTGGTAAATGTTTAAGGTTTCAAGTGTTGTAAATCTAAACAGTTAAGTTTTGATGTGTCAGATATGCCAATACACAAATAAAATGTGAGGACGCATGCAGAATTACCTGATGAAAGTAGAATTCCACATGATGGAATAAAAAACAAGGGGGCAACTACATAAATAACACCCAAAACATTGCTATTTACAAATCAAGCACCCACTTTCCATCCATTTTTTTAAGCTCTCATTCAAATATCAAAATTCATGATAAAACATCAACCATCTTTTCTATTTTTATAAAATTCTCGATGGTTTGATCATAGCATGCATAAATACATCTGTTCGGCAATTCAAAAATATCACCTAGGTGCTATATTTTGTAAATAGTAATGTTTCGGATGCTATGTATGTATGTAATCATTCAAAAATAAAAAGAATTAGTACATATGTGTATATACATATATAATCACGCATATCCAAAAGGTTCTATCAAAGCATAATCATTGTCCCCAACAAAACAAAAAACACAAAAGAAAAACAGTTGTTCCATGTTCAGAAGATTTATGAGCATATGATTAACAGAAGCGGAATAGTAAGAAATAGTTCCGTTCAGCTGTCGGAGTTGGTGGAGGTAGAAGCAGTCTCACCAGAGAAGAGGTGGTGACGATGTTGCATTCGGAGGATCTCGTAAGCCCACTCGAGGCCGGGGCAGTAATGAAGCGGGGGATTGAATCTGCTGTCGTACATGTCAGGGGGCAAGAAGGCTCCGTTCTCTATCAGGAATTTTATGGCTTCCTTCTTCCTTGATTTGGCCGCGTTGTGTACCGGAGTCCCTGCACCGGCAATAACAACAACAGATATACGAGGAATTTACATTCATACCGCACACTTTCTTTGAATTTACACTTGTAACACTTTGGCGTGTGCTTCCATATTAAAAATTTTGTAGTTGTGATATTCTTGACGTGATGTAAGCTGAGGTGTTAGACATGTAAATGAATGAGAATTGTGTGGTATATATGTAAATGCCCTTTTACCAAATTCAAGGGTATGGAGCTTTGATT